GGGAACGTGACCCTCCAGTGTGCCTCATGGATGGGATTCCACAGGTTCGTCCTGATGAGGGAAGGAGAGCGCCAGCCCTCCTGGACCCTGAACTCCCAGGCAGCCCCCCGTGGCGGGACCCAGGCCCTATTCCCTGTGGGCCCCGTGACCCCCAACCACAAGTGGAGATTCAGATGCTACGGCTATTACAGCAACACCCCCCTGGTGTGGTCAGACCCCAGTGACCCCCTGGAGCTGCTGGTCTCAGGTGAGAAAGTCTGTTGCCCCATCCGTGTTTTGAGGCACCAGACAGGTTAATGGGGACTCTGCTCCCAGGGGAGCCCCAATGAGAGGGTGGGTGAGGGGACCACGGGGACTCACAGGTCAGCGTCACTGACGGTGATGGATAGTGAGACCCGGGGGTCAGGACGGGAGAAGGGAGGTTTGGGGAAAAGCAGTCCCTGCCATCCATGGCTGGTCTCTCCCAGGTGTGTCGGGGAAGCCCTCCCTCCTGACCCAGCAGGGCCCTGTCGTAACCTCTGGACAGAGCCTGACTCTCCAGTGTCGTTCTGATGATGGCTATGACAGATTTGCTCTGTCGAAGGATGGAGCACGTGGCCCTCCCTGGAGGCTTGGCTGGCAGCCCCAGGCAGGGCTCTCTGGGGCAGACTTCCCCCTGGGCCCTGTGAGACCTGCCCTCGGAGGCCGGTACATGTGCTACGGTGGACACACCCTCTCCTCTGAGTGGTCGGTCCCCAGTGACCCCCTGGACATCCTGCTCGCAGGTGAGGGCTCACGGCATCAGTCAGGACTCCAGACTCTGCATAGGTCCCACCAGGGGAGCCCCAGGTGGTGGTGGCCCGGACCAGGGGTGGGGGCTCCCCAGGGAGAGAGAGACAGAGATGGGGGATGGGAAGGGACAGACTCAGAGGACACAGACAGACTCAGTTCAGAGCAAGGTCTGGACAGCCCCTCACCCGCCCTTCCTCTCTCTAGGACAACTGCCCTACACACCCTCTCTCTCGGTGCAGCCTGGACCCACGGTGGCCCCAGGAGAGAATGTGACCCTGCTCTGTCAGTCACGGAGCTCTGTGGACACTTTCCTTCTGTCCAAGGAGGGGGCAGCCGATCCCCCGCTGCATCATAGATCACAGTACCGAGCTGGGCAGCACCAGGCTGAATTCCCCATGAGTCCTGTGACCTCAGCCCACGGGGGGACCTACAGGTGCTACGGCTCTTCCAGAATCTCCCCCTACCTGTTGTCACAGCCCAGTGACCCCCTGGAGCTCCTGGTCTCAGGTGAGGGTCCCTGACCCTGTGCTGTCTAAGCTCTGTCAGCTCAGGACTCACGTCTCAGGAAAGCCTGACACAGTAACACATGTGGGGGCCACGGGGGTTCCACAGAGGAGGGTCCTGCCCTGGAGATGTTGGGAAGATCCACAGTGTGCACCCGGGTCCCCCATCCTGCAGTCTCAGCAGAGTAAGGAGTAGGGGCCGCGTGAGGGGTGAGTGAGGATGATGGTGAGTAGACAGCGCCTCCCACTCACCTCCTGTCCCTCCATAGCAGAATATGATGGTGTTGTCAGCCCCACGGGACACTCTCCTGCACAGAAGCCTCCCTACCTGCGGGCACTGCTTTGCTGCCCCCGTACTCACCTGGGAGCCTCCATGCCCCTCAGTGCACACCTGAGACCCAGGAGGGGCCAATCCCGGCTCACAGGAGTCCCCAGGGAGGCTG